TGCTAGTAGCCATTGACTTCCATATTTGTTTCCCATACTATTGAATCAATAGCTACTGACAACTGTTTGGTTACCGACATTCTTCAAAATATCTTCTTTGAGTTCAACAGAGGATAAAAACTCATACAGGTTTGGAACAATGTGAGGGTGAGTAAATTATGACAAAATTAAATGTTTTAATGTGAATTTTGATAAATGTAATGTGTCTTTAATGAATACAAGTTTACTGAATAAAAATTTCTTAAACAGCAGAAAACATTTGAATGGTAGCATACTTGAGCCAACTTGTTGAAACTGTAAAAATGGTTCATAAATGGGCTGAATAATGTGAAAGTAATGACAAGGTAAGGGTATATTATTTATACCATTCAGAATTGAGAGAAAAAGTCTATGAGTCTATGGGTCTTTTTGTGTTTATTCAGCTATGTCACCTACAAAAAAAAATACTGTGGCAGAACCTTGGCACAGTAACGATATCAGGTGGTAAAACTACTGTATGATATTTTGATATATACCTTGAACTAAATTGTATTTAGTAGGAATCAAGTTTATTCAAAAAAGCATGATGTTACTAAAAGCATGATGATTGTGTATGTCCACAAATAAATGGTATTTTAACATCTCCAAAGAGCCACTGGAAAACTTTGTACTTTTTGTTTGTTTTGCATTTGGACATAAATATCATTGTCTGCTAAATATAGCTATAGCAGTGACAAGCAACCCTTTGTCCAGCAAAACAGACTATTTTAGTCTCCCTCTGAATAATACTTTTTTGTATGTGGAATGTGTAAACATGGTTCTCCTGTGTTCCCTCATGTGATGTTTTCAAATTAGTTGCTGTTATTAGTAAGTAAATGATCATGCAATAAAAAAGGAGAGTCATTAAAATTTGTTCACGTCTCTCAGAATGGGGAGAGATGCAGAACATCACTACCACTCGTGAGCAGGTGGAGCTGAAGGGTTTGGAGAAGTTCACAAACTACAGCATTCAGGTTCTGGCCTACACACAGGCAGGAGATGGTGTCCGCAGCAACGTACTCTACATACAGACCAGAGAAGACCGTAAGTTCACGCACCACACATGTACACATGACCACTGATTGTATGTCAACATATTTGCAGATATGCAAAAAAACCAACAAAAAAAAACCTAGTAAGCTGGTTTGTTGTCTGTTCACTACATAGGGAATGTATCTTGTTGTCTATTCCCTAAGTAGACAGTTGACTCATAATTTGATCCAACAGAGTTTTATGTTAG